TTAGTGTGGGAGCAGTGTCTCTCCTCCCAGGAACAGCGAGGAGATGGTACAGCCACAGCTGAGAGAAGGGCTGGGAGGGTCTGGGAATGCTGGTCAAGGCTGCCTGCCCTGGGCAGCAAGGAGTCCCAAGAGGCTTGTGACTTCAGGGAAAGCCTGAGGCTCTAGGTGTGGAAAGCCATGCTTGCCAAGGGTTCAAGGAAGTTGAGAGCGGTGGGACAGGGCAGACTGGAAGTAGAAAAACAAGGACTTGGTGACATCTAAGGAGTCCAAGTTACAGGAAGGAGGCAGAAGGGGTCAGGAATATCTGGCTGGAAAATGAGTGGGAGTAGAGGATGAAGGCTAAAGAGGTCATCTGGGGGCTTCGTGGCTTGAAAATTTCCAGGAACTGTATATGGATCCAGGTGTTGGTCCTGTGTTCAATGTCATGTATTTATTCAGCATCTACTACACCAGTGTTTTGCTGATGAAAGATTACCATACAATTGCTCTCAAGGAGATCCCAGTCTAGCCTGGAAGATGGACCAGGCAGCAAAGTAAGAAGAATAAAGAAGCGTGTGCTGCACTTAGGGGTCGTAAGGATCTGTGGTGGAAGGACATAGGAATGAACGTTAGATGATGTGAGCTGAAGGAGGAACTGAACCATGATAAGAGCTGTGGACACGACACGTCTTCCAGATACTCAGACTCTCCAGGCCTGGAGGCAGGTAGGGGCCAGTTGTGTTGGAGGAATTGTTGGCAGCCATGTGGCTGGAACAGTGCCCTCCTGAAAGGAGAAGGGGACGACAGAGGATGAGATGGTTGGATGGCATCACCATCCGACTTGATGGACTCGATGGACATGAGTTTGAGCAAGCTCCAGGAGTTGGTGATGGACAGGGAAGCCTGGTGACTGCAGTCCACGGGGTCACAAAGAGTCAAACACGACCGAGCAACTGAACTGAAATGAGAGCAGGAGTCTGCGATGAGATGGGAAACAGGCAGGTGCCAGCTTGTACAGCACTCCCTAACCCACACCCCTGCTCCCCTGGGCCATAGCAGAGTGTTTGCTTTTATTTATTTCCTAAGTGCCATGAGAACCCACTGGAGGCAGAGAATGGATGGTGGGTGGGGGCAAGTCAGAGGACCAGATGATGGATGATGTGGAAATGGCAGAACTGAGCTCTATTTTGAAGGTAAACCTAACAGAACTTACTCATGGATCTGTAGATGAGTAGGGGAGACTCCCGGGTCCAGCGCAGCCAGGTAGATGGTGGTGAATAGTGGACTCAGGAGCACTATTTTGCCTGAATTTCACTTGAATTCTCAATTTGCCATCCAGATTGGGGACAGAGGGTAAGTAGGCTATGTCATGTTCAAGCCAGGAGCTCAGTAACAGGCATCATGGATCCATGGAAAGATCCAGAGCTGGCCAACACTCCTAGGTCCAAGGAGGTGAGGAGAGAAGGGATTACCTAGTGACTCAGTGGTAAAGAATCTGCCTGTCATTGCAGGAGACATGGGTTTAATCTCTGATCTGAGAAGATCTCACATGCCACAGAGCAAGTAAGCTCAGTGTCACAACTACTGAAGCCCACTCACCCTAGAGCCTGTGCTCCGCAATGAGAAGTCACCACAATGAGAAGCCTGTGCACCACAACTAGAGAATAGCCCCCACTCTCTACAACTAGAGAAAAGCCCGCACAGCAAGGAAGACCCAGCACAGCCAAAAATAAATTTTAAAAAATTATAGTGGCTAAAGGAGAAAACTCAGTTGAAATACTTCAGAAAGCCATTAAGCGCCTTATGGAACTCAGAACTCAAGGTTGTGTCCACAGCCCAGTAAAGTCTGAGACCTCAAGGATGGAAATGAGAAGGAATGTGTGTGTTTATGTCCGAGTCCCTAAACTACCTGTGTAAGGACCCAGTGGGGCACAGAGGTGTGGAGGTGAGAGGAGGAAGACCTGATCCGCAGTGGACAGGTGGTGGCTGGGAAGACTAAAGGAAACAGCTTCTGGCTTTGCAGCAGGGGTGCGGGGGAGCCAGCGGCTCTCTCCAGGACAACCAGGGGAATGGAAACCACAAGGGCAGAGCACAGGAGGATATGGCAGAGAAGGGGTCAGAAGCAGTCTGTGTCAGCATCTGTGAGAGTCCGGTCCATAGGGCCCTGGGGGGGGGGGGGGGATCTTGACTGGGGGCTCCTATTTCCTCAGTGATCTCTGTGGTGAGGCCTCAGATGAGGGAGGAGGCTGCAGGAGGGGATGAGAGGTGGCCCCTACATTCTAGGTTTGCTTCCTAGAACAGCTGGGTTGGAAGGTCCAGGTGTTTGGGAGCTGCTGGTGACATGGAGAAGTAGATGTAGAAGCCTGGGCATTCTGAGATGAGAGGGGCTGAGGGCAAAATGAGTGGCTTTTCAGGGGTCCAGCCCCTGCACCTCCCACGTGGAGCTCTCCTCCCTGACAATCAGCCTGCCTGTCGTCAGCCCCCCTCAAATCTCCATCCCCTAATCCTGGGGCTGCGGGAGACTGTGCAGGGGGCTGGAGTACAGCTAAATGGCATCTAGAGAAAGTCCCATGGCTGCGTGGAGAAGGTACCCCAGAGCAGGGACGATCTCGAGTCTCTGCCTAAGCTGCTCACCACAACCAGAGAAGCATGTGGCCAGCCCTGAGCCAGTCGCGGTCTGAGTGCCGTAGATCTCTTCTACAGCATCTTCTGCAGCAGCAGGGAGTGCTCAGGGCCATCCTGACCCCCAGGCCTTCATCTGCCAAGGGGGGCACCTCATAGCTTTGCTCCTAATGCTCTCTTACCTCGCTGGGGAGGGGGACCAGGTCAGCCTTACCCAATCTATGCATGGGGCTTCCCCAATGCACCAAGAACTCCTGGGGGCCACAGGGCAGCCCACTGGTATTATAGGTGGGGTCATCTTCTGCTTGCTTCGCCCGCCCTCTTCCACGTCTGGGGGACAGAAGCTGAACTCCATGCCAGCAGGAGGTGAGAAGGGGGAATCGAGGCTCTTCCTCGGGCTGACAGCCAGTGTGGAGGGGATGGGAGGTTAGCAGTTCGTTGTGGGGAGAGTTCCTGGGTCAATCCGGGGCCCGAGAGCCGCAGAATCATTTGATGAGAAGCCGCGGAAGGTCAGACCAAGAGTTCTTCGGAAGGGGTGGATTTGCCCGGCCGCGCGCACCACCGCGTTCCTACACAAGCACGCGCGCGCACCCTACCTCCGCAACATACCACCCAAGGAGGACCAGGTGCCCGAGAAAGCGCGACCCAGGGCTGAGCTCCCTCGTGTCTGGGAAAGAAAACTGGGCGGCGGGGCCATCTTGGGAAGGGAAAAAGCTGCAAGTCAAGACCTTGACCAAAGAGAGAGCCGAGGATTCAACGAGACCAGGCGCGAAACCGTGAAGGGCTTTGCCAGCAAACCCGACGTCGCCGAGTCGGGAGGGCGGCGGGTTCCGGCGGCCAGGGCGTAGCCCAGAGAACGCTCACCGGCCGGTGTAGAAAGTCGAGGTGCGCTTCCTGGAGGAGGAGTAAGAGGATTTGCTGCTTGAGAAGCCAGGTTGAATGGAGGGGGCGGGGCCCGGGTGGGCCGGGCCCAGCGGCGGCCCCCTGCCGAGAGGAGGGGACGGGCCTAGTACTTAAAGTCAAGACGAGGGAGGCCCCACCCGGACCCGCCGCACCGTCTCAACTCCGAGGGTCTCGCAGCACACCGTGCTTCTTCGCAGAGACCGCATCCCTGCTCAGCCCCTAACCGGGCGACACCTGGGCGGGCGCGAGGGCCCGAAGAAGCCCAGTCTACGCGTTCTAAGTGGCCGCGGGCTCCCGGGAGCAACCCGCCCGGGGTGAAAAGGAGTACGGGTGAGGGCGCGGGGAGGGCGGGCGGGACCCAGGTCCACGCCGCACGGCCTCCGACGCCAGGGAGGACCGTAGGCGCGGCATTAGGACCCAGGCGCGGCCCAGGGGTGTGTCGCCGGCTCCCGCCGCCGGCCTGTAGAAGACTGCGAGGTAGGGGTCCCGAAGCCCCGGGTGAGGACCCGTGGCTTGCGCGCGGGTGTGCAGCGGTTCTGCGGCTGACGGCTGGGCTGTGGCCGCGGGCACCAGGTGCGCGTTCCATCTCCATCCATGCGGCAGGTGCCCACGGCGGGAAGGCCGTTCGGTCTCCATCGCAGAGCCGTGCTGGGCTGGGAAGCGGAGCCGTCGAGGCGCTGGGAGGAACGCGAACGCGGCCGGCCTGCCCTGGTCCCCGGCATAGTGGGCGAGAGGGTCTTGGGGGCTTCCCAGCCGGGGCGGGGGTGCCCGGGGTGAGTTCGGCCTCTAGGGAGTGGGAGTCCAGGTGGGTACATGGGTGGTTGGGGAAGCACAGGACGACTTCGTGGGCACGGCGCGCTTGACTTAACGCCGTTTTGAAACAACAGTTTTTGAACCTACGAGATAGCTGGGGGAAGGGTGGAAGGCTTGCAAATAGCGGGGCGGAGTTGTGGGGTCCCCAGCAACTCGAACTCCAGGGTCTTCGCAGGCGGGCGTCACCCCCCCTCCCCGGAAAGCCTCATTTTATATTCTACCCGACACCTTCGGCGCTGCGCGGCAGCCTGCCTACTCTTAGGGGTCCCTGGTCCTCTGACTGTCTGTCCCCTGTGCGGCCACGGCAGTCTCTCGGTCGCCGCTCTGACACCTGAGGGCCAGCACGGGGGTGTACTGTTTACGTGCACTTGAATCGTGCGGCACGGGAGTAGGGTGTGCATCCCCACCCTTCCATACCCTCGTCACCCTCGTCCTCTGTCCACCCTTGCGCCTCTGCTGCTAGGTTTACTGCCCCCGCGCCTCCCTTCTGCATGCCGCCCGGGCTCCTGCCCCGGGAGACAGTCCGCATTCTGAACGACCCCGACCCCCGACCCCCACGGTCTCCGAGTCGGAGGCTCTTTCCTCTCGTGCACGCGGCCGTTCCTGTCGCTTCCTTCCTTAAACAGAGCAACACAAACAGCGTGGAGCATCCATCCGGGGCTCGACGCAAAGAGCGCGCACGCCCCACCCCGCCCTCGCGCCGTCTCCCATGAGGACCAACGGCTCCGCCTCCCAGGAGGCCCGGAAAGTGGGTGGCGCTGAGGGAAGGAGGCCGTTGCCTCAGGTCACCCTGTGTGACCCCTGGCGCGGGAGGTTAGGGGCGACTGCACGTGTGATGGGTCTTGATAACGCCAGGGACCGACGTGAGAGTGAGAACCGAAGAGATGTGCTGGGAGAAGAGCCCCAGCCCTGTTCCTGGACTTTGCACGGAAGGCTTGAGAGAGGGAGGCTGTCTTCTGCAGGGAAGGTGGCCAGACAGGTCTCCTCCCTTCAGATTTCTGCAACTAGCGTGTCCTTCCTTCCTTCACGGGGTACTGTTAATTATTCCTGGAGAAAACATGCTGAGAACTCCTCCCCACCTCCCTCCTCTCCCACCTGGGCAAGCCCTTAGCAGATGGGTTGAAGAATAACAGGAAGTGGCTTCCTCTAGCTCCTCCAGGGGCCTCTGGCTAGTGCTGTCCCCTGCTCCTTTTTCTCCCAGGGTCTCTGGCAAGGGTAAGAAAGACTCAGCAGGGGTTGGTAAGGGGTGGGCAGCAGATGTCAAGAGAGGCTGTCCAGAACTGATACATGGAGCTGGTGACAATTCTTTGGTTTGCCTTACAGAAAACTCTTCTGTCATGTCGCAGAATGGATACTTTGAGGATGCAGGTGTGTACCTTTCAGGTGTGGGTGTTTGTAGAGAGCTTCTTGGTCAAAAGACTTTAGAGGACCTAGTCCATCCACCTGTAATCATGGTCCTCTGCTGGTGCTGGGATGCCTTTGGATTCTACCTCCAGGAGGTTGTGGTGTGGTCAGAGAGGCAGCTGACACTGCCCTGGATACTGGCAGGTCTCTGGTGGTCCTGGGGTCCTGGGAGAGCGAGCTGCTCCCCATCCTGGGCTCTGTGGACCATCTGATATGTCATGGTTTGCTGTTAACAATGCTCTGGTTATCTGACCAGGTTTTAGGCCAAATGTTGTATATGCCCACATTCCTAAGATCCTGCCCGGCCCTGTGAGGGAGGGGCTGCCACTGTCCCTCTAGAGAATTGCAGTCTCTGCATCTCAATTTTCCCTGCTTGCACCAGCCTAGCTCTCTCCCTCCCCATATCTCTGGGGTGGCTACATGCTCCTGTGCCCAGGTTTGGGAAGTGGCCTGACCATCATTTAGTGGGACAGTGCCTGGACATAATGGCAGTGTGTTCTATATAGGGTTCCCAAGGCATGATGACTGCATGTACTAGGCTGCTGGTGGGCAAGTCCCAGGAGCCTTGCCGTGAACTGGTGGTATCTATTGGGTAGGCCCTAGGTTGAGCTCAGGATAGGGGAGAAGTGGGGCAGTGTGAGGGACATTCTTGGAAACAGACAGTGCTGGTGGGGGTGGTAGAGGCTGGGACAGGTTGGGGCTGGGGAACCAAGCAGTCTAAGCAAAGCAAGTCTAGAACTGGGGAGGAAGGTGTTTTTCATGGACATGAGCTCCATGACAAGTAGGAGAAGGATGTCTTTTGACTTAATAGTTCTTCTCTGGGCTCTGGGTGCAGTGCAGACCTGGAGCTAGGGGTCACCAGTCCATGAGGGTGTTGATAGGGGAGGCCTAGTGCTTCCTACCCAGAAAGAGCCCAGGCTGAGCACAGGATACTGGGGGAACAGGGCCTGGGATGTAAAGAGGAAACCAGCGGACTAGAGTGGAAGTGAGTCAGGGTGAGTCACTGCCTGGCAGGTGGGGGCGTGCTACTGACATGGGGACATCCCATGGGTATTTTTAGGTGTTTGTGGGATCTGAGCTACAAGGGCCCTGGGAGAATCACAAGTGGTGGCCCACAGGGGATCCACAGGACATAGTGAGGAAGAGGGGCCAGATGAGCCAAGAGTAAGGCAGGGAGGGCCCTCGGTGGACTTGCCAGAGGAGGAAGGTTCTGTTGAGCCTTGAAGAAGGCCCTCCGGGGAGGGAAGCCCTCAGCTTACAGGACAGGAGCTGGCCCGTCTGGGGTGCTGGCCACTTGGCCTGAGGAGTAAGAGATTGAGGTGGTGGTGGGACTAGGCCTGAGGGACCAGGGGTCCTGGAGCAGCAAGGCTGACTCAGGCTGTTGGCCCAGAGGCAGCGAGAAGCCCCAGCAGGACTCAGGGCAGCATGTCAGCAAGGTGGCTTCCTATATGAGGGAGCCTATGCTATGGGGCAGTTGCAGGAAGTGAGAGGCAGACCAAAAGAAAGGGGCAGCAGGTTCTGTGCTCTGGGGTCCCAAAGCCTGAGATGAGGCCTCCTTCTGGGGTCCTGTCCCCTCTCTGTCCCTGGCTCTATTTCTCTGGCTCTCTTGCTGCCTGATGTCACACTGAGTCTTCTCAGCCTTAATGCTTTGCCCCCCACACCTGCCGTGTGCCAATGAGGTCTGGATACTGCAGGGCTCTGGCTTCCATTGGGTTGCTTCTGAGGAGGGAGCAACCCTCCCCAGAAGCCAGACAGCTCTCTCCTCCCTGGGGAGCCAGACAGGTCCAGGTCCCACAACCTGGAGGTTCTGGGAAGGCAGTGGCCAGGCAGGCTCAACTGTGTCATTGTACCATGTACCTGGCCCAATGTTTGTGGAATGAACATGTCTTTCTCTAGCTAAAGGACAGGCATGGCACAGAACCGTACATGGTTCCCACAGCTGAAGAATGTTGGAGAAAACTGTTGGGTAGGGGGTGCCAGCTGGCTGCTATACTCAGGCTGGGCCAGGACCAGATGTTGGGCCTACCTGAGCCAAGGCTTCCTTCCCGGCCGCTAGAGGCTGCCCTCACCGCTCACCAAGACTGCACCCAGTAGGACAGCCCAGGGGCCCTGCTCCTTTGGCTCAGAGTCCCTCTCTCCCATGTGTAGCACTGACAGCCAGGCCCTCTTGGGGGGGTCTCTCTTGGTGGTGGTTGGGGCTCCAGGCTACCTCAAGTGTGACACAGATGATGCCTCTGAAACCCGTGAGGAGAGCCTGAGGGATGAGGCCTTCGACACGGTCAACTCCTCCATTGTGTCTGGCGAGAGCATCCGCTTTTTTGTCAACGTCAACCTCGAGGTGCAGCCTACCCAGTCTGGTATGGGGGTTGTGGCAGGGACAGGTTGGGGGGGCATGCATGGGACTGGGGACTGAACAGATGTGGCCACACTTCACTATGGAGACCTGAAGGGCTGGGGCAACACCCTGAGCCCTCCTGCTTTCCTCTAGCAGAGAATGAATCACCTGGCGGCTACGGACTCCTACACACCTCCCGCAAGGTGAGCGGCCAGTCGGCTGGATGGGAAACATTTGGTTCCAGGCCACTAGCTGGGGGCGGAGGTGGTCGCTTCCCTGGGAGAGCTCATATTAGCCTGGGGCCGACCACACTGGCCTTCTCTCTGGGAAGGGGGTGTCAGCCAGGGACCGTCACAGTGGAGGGGTCCAGGCAAGGACAGAGGGTCTTATTTATGGGCCTGTGTGGTTCTGTGCACGGGGTCCCCACAGTACCTGAAGTTAAAGAACTTTGAGGAAGAGATCCGTGCACACCGGGACTTAGATGGCTTCCTGGCACGGGCCAGAATCATCCTGAATGAAACAGCCACCTCCCTGGATGATGTGCTGAGGGCTATGCTGTGTCGCTTAGCCCAAGACCCCTACAACAGCGAGCCAGACTGCAACCTGGACCTGCTCATGGCCATGCTCTTCACTGACTCCGGGGCTCCCATGGAGGGTAAAGGTAAGGGCTCTCTCTTGGCCTGGGCGGGAGGTCAGGGAAGTGGACCATCTGACTCTCTACTTCGTTAGCAGTTCACCTGCTGTCGGACACCATCCAAGGGGTCACTGCCACAGTAACAGGGGTACAATACCAGCAGTCATGGATCTGCATCCTGTGAGTTGCCAGGCCACCATGTTGGCCTCCCCGTGTCACCTCAGAGACAGGCATCCAGTAACCCTGTGAAGGCTGACCTGCTCAGTCTGGGGGGAGAGTGAGGAATTCATCCCATCAGGTGTTTTTTCCTCCTTAACAGAGGTCACTGGGGTCATGGTTGGGAGTTCTGGGTGGCGGGGGTGGAGCCCCAGCTCCCAAGGGTGGCAGCCACATGCCGTGTGCCCTCCCTGTCCCACCAGCTGTACCTCCAAGGCCCTGCTGAGGCGACACGTGTGCATCAGCCGCCTGGTCCGCCCGCAGAACTGGGGGCAGAATTCCTGTGAGGTGCGGTTTGTCATCCTGGTGCTGGCCCCACCCAAGATGGTGAGGAAGGGTTTCAGGTGGCTCTGTTTCCTGGGAAAGAGGGTACCAGGTTACCCTGCCCTCTCCTTGGGGGTATCTCTCCCACTGCAGGCAGACTACAGAATTGGCCTCCGAAGGCCACATTCCCACCCTGTCTGTTCATCCCTGGGTTTGTCTGAAGAATACTTGCTAGGTCCTCATCAAGCCCTGATTTCCCCAGAAGTGGCCCAAAAGATTATATTTCCTTCCTGACTGAAAAGAGATACTCCTTAAAAGTATTACTGTTCAAACAAAGGGGCCTTTTTTTGGCCTGCACGATGCTGACTGTTCTAATCGGCTGACCGTGATTTGTTGACCAAAGAGTCCCACTCTTTCCTGGGCTGTTTATCCCCTGGCCAGGGGCAGATTACCTCACTTTTGTGGGGGCTGAGCCATACAGTTTGGGGAATCTTCTTTTATGGGAGAGGATTTAAAAATCTTGAGTAGAAAATGGCAAGGATCCCCCTCCAGGCTTGGGAAGGGCCTTAATGCTTAATTAGGCTTTTTGATGATTCTGCCCCTGCCTCTGGTGTAGACTTAGAGCTTCAGATGGCCCCTCCCCAGGCTTTCTCTATGCAAAGGAGTGCTAATGGGATCATAGACACTGAATCTCTCTAGATGTTACTATGCTGGGAACAAAGAGCATTTAGGGCAGCAGGCACCTCTTGGGTCAGAGGAGTGACAGCTGACAAGGTGGCCAGAACAGTTAGAAAGAGCAGAATCCCTAGGGCTGAGTGGCTAGCCTGGCACCTTGAGACATGCCAGCCAGCCTGATACCTGGCTCCTCCTCAGGAGAACAGGCCTGTTTTAAAGCTGCCAGGAAGCAGTGGGTGCAGGTGTAGGCCTGGGACACAGCTTTGGGCAACCCAGAGGGGTGGATACCGCTCCCAGGGGCCAAAGTGGTCAAGGTGAGAGGTTGCTGTGGTGGAGGCTGGACACGGAGTTTACAGACAGGGCTGACCTTGGCCAAGCAAGAGGGATAAGGCTAGATGGCCTGGAACCCCCCTGAAAATCAGATAAAGCAGCAAACAGTGCAAATGCCCCAGGTGAAAAGCAGTTGAGCAAACATTTTTTTCCATCATCAGGATTTCATTATCCACAATTACACAGATTTAACCTGAGACTGTAAGAAAAATACTAGGTCAGCGGTAGTCTAGTGATCTGACGATCTGGTGGCAATCGTGGCAGGATCCGCTATGTGTGAATGTTGGGGGACTCCACCTGGATCATGGGGAGTGGCCAGGGCTGGGGAGGGTGCCCTCCACTACAGTGGCTACAGATGTGATTCTCTTACCCCATCCCCAGAAAAGCACCAAGACTGCCACAGAGGTGGGACGTACATTTGCCACCATGTTGTTAGACATCACCTTCCGCCAGAAGCTCCTGAAGACCCACACAGAGGAGGAATTCAAAGAGGCCCTGGTCCAACAGAGACAGCTGCTCACCGTAATGAGCCACTGTCCGAGTATCAGCATGGACTACAGCATGAGCTCCATCTGCCTCTTCAGACACCCACAGGTGCAGGGCAGACATGGCCTGGGTGGGCAGCCCGGGGCGAGGACACAGGGCTGATGGGCATGTCCTTTTCCCAGCCCCCACAGCAGAAGGACTTTCTCCCCATGGGGAAGGGCATCCAGGAGGACATCGCCCGCAGGTTCCCCGTGTACCCACTGGACTTCACTGACGGTAAGTGTCCCATGACCCTCTCAAAGGTTGGCCTGTAGCTCAGGCCCCCGGCCTGACCTGCCTCCCCAACACACCCTCCATCCCATCTCCCTTTCCTAGGCATCATCGGGAAAAACAAGGCTGTGGGCAAATACATCACCACCACCTTGTTCCTCTACTTCGCCTGCCTTCTGCCCACGATTGCTTTTGGGTCCCTCAATGATGAGAACACAAAAGGGGTTATCGGTGAGGGGTTGGAGGCTAGCAGGGAGTGCGGGGGGGGGGGGGGGGGGGGGGCAGTTCAGCACCACAGTGCCCCCCTGACCACCTCACTTCCTCAGATGTGCAGAAGACCGTGGCTGGGCAGAGCATTGGAAGCCTCTTGTATGCACTCTTCTCTGGGCAGCCGCTGGTGGTGCTGCTGACAACTGCACCCCTGGCCCTCTACATCAATGGTGCAGTGGGGGGTGAGAGTGGGGAGATGGTTCCTGGGGTCCCTGCCCCAACCTGGCCCTGACTGCTCACTCCTGTCCTGCTGCCCGCAGTGATCCGTGGCATCTGTGATGACTATAATCTGAACTTCAGTACCTTCTATGCATGGACAGGCCTGTGGAACAGTTTCTTCCTCACACTTTATGCCCTCTTCAACCTCAGCCTGGTCATGAGTCTTTTCAAGAGGTAACAGAGCCTTCCCTAAGCTTCTGGGACTTTCAAGCAGGAGGGAGACCAAGGCTAGGAATGTGGGTCAGCTTCCATGCCACCCTCCAAGGCCCTGTAACCCTAGATAAGATGGGGTGCCCCCACCATATCACTACCCCAAGGGGAAAGCTTGGGACCCTGGCCTTCTTCATGCAGGAGATAGGAGCCATGCCAAGGCTGGGGAAACCCACCCTTTACAATTCACCCCATCTTATGAGACATACCTTCTGCTGGCAGGTCAACAGAGGAGATCATTGCCTTGTTCATTTCTATCACGTTCGTTCTAGATGCTGTCAAGGGCATGGTCAAAAGTGAGTATCATACAGCCAGTGGCCACCTGCTGCAGGGGAAGCTGAGTTGAGATGGGGGTAGAGACTGTGGCAAGGCAGCCAAGAATCATGCAAGCTAAGGCTGCTTCCCCAGTCCAGGGTGCTATGGGAGCCATGACTGACAATGTGCAGCAATCAGCAGGTGACAGAGCTGTCTTAGGCAGAATCAGAGGCCCTGGGTCAGGCAGGATTCACTGTCAGAAATGGACAAAGGGCAGGGTGTGAGGTGGTGGGTAGACAGACAGGTTGAGGAATCCTGGCTGACAGAAGGCCAGCTCTCCCCTCTTCCGCCCAGAATCCCTTTCTCCCCTCAGGGCTCCTTCTGCCCACATCCAGGAGGAAGTTGCTAGGCCCAGGCTCCCAGAGCCCAGATGGCTGAATTCTGATGGTCTGTACCCATAGTCTTCCAGAAGTACTACTATGGCCATGACGCTAGACTCTTCAAAGAGGAGTCCTCCTTGGTGAACCTGCTGGGCTTCAACAGTAGCCTCCACACTGCCCTCAACACCAGCTTCCTGACTAGCCCACCGGAGTTAACTACAACGGGCAGCCAGGACGCCGAGCCCCTGGCCCGGGATACGGCTGTGCTCAGCCTCCTCATCATGCTGGGCACACTCTGGCTGAGCTACACCCTCTACCAGTTGAAGAAGAGGTGAGGGGTGCCCCCTCGGGTGAGGGGGACACATGCCCCTAGGCCACACTGACACTCACCTGCCTCCGTAGCCCCTACCTGCACCCCTACATGCGTGAGATCCTGTCAGACTGTGCCTTGCCCATTTCGGTGCTTACCTTCTCCCTCATCTCTTCCTACGGCTTCCAGGAGATTAAGAGTAAGTTAGGACCAGCCGTGGGGTGGGAATGGGGTGGGTGGCTCTGTGGGGGATGCAAGCTTGAGCAGGGGCCTGTACCCTACTGCAGTGGTCAAGTTTCGCTACAGCCCGAGTGAGAACCTGTTCGAGATAGCTGAGATGCACTCGCTATCCCTGGTGGCCATCAGCAGCGCCATGGGCCTCGGCTTCCTCCTCTCCATGCTCTTCTTCATAGAGCAGAACCTGGTGGCTGCCTTGGCTAACTCCCCACAGAACAGGTTTGCAGGGCTGGGGATGGAGGGGTGAGCATGTGCCCAACCTTCCAGGGGCCAAGAGGGCTCTGGCCATATGTGACCCCACCCACTGCAGGCTGGTAAAGGGCACTGCCTACCACTGGGACCTCCTGCTCATCGCCATCATCAATACTGGGTTGTCTCTGTTTGGGCTGCCCTGGATCCATGCTGCCTACCCCCACTCCCTGCTGCATGTACGAGCACTGGCTTTGGTGGAGGAGCATGTAGAGAACGGGCACATTTACGAGACGTGAGTGTGAAGAGGGCCCCTCGAGATGTGAGGCCAGAATCACGAGGGCCTGAGGTGGGGGGGCAGCCCTGGGCCACATGGGACTTGAGGAGGGATACTGCCTTGGGGGACAAGGGCCCAGAAGTGACAGAGCCTGGTCAGCATGTGACCTGGGATGAACACAGCCCTGTGGACCAGGCCAGAGTGACCCGATGCACCGGACCCTCACAGGATTGTGAACGTGAAGGAGACGCGGCTGACCTCCCTGGGCACCAGCATCCTGATGGGCGTCTCCCTCCTGCTGCTGCCCTTCCCACTACAGTGGATCCCCAAGCCTGTGCTCTACGGCCTCTTCCTCTACCTCGCGCTCACCTCCATCGACGGCAACCAGCTGTTTCAGCGCCTGGAGCTGCTGCTCAAGGACCAGGTGAGTGGCCCTGAGAGTGGGGGCCGGGGTGGGGGATCTGGCTCCAGCCCTGCCCACACCTGGTCCCTGCCACCCGCAGACGTCCTACCCACCCACCCACTACATCCGGAGGGTGCCCCAGAGGAAGATCCACTACTTCACAGGCCTGCAGGTCCTGCAGCTGCTGCTGCTCTGTGCCTTTGGCATGAGCCCACTGCTCTACATGAAGATGGTCTTTCCCCTCATCATGATTGCCATGATCCCCATTCGGTACGGAGGGCAGACAGCAGGCAGAAGGGACTCAGCGGGGCGGGAGAGGGTGGGCTAGAATGGCTACTCTTTGCCTATTCCTCCCTGCCCCAATGCTTATCTTCCTGCCTGTTCCTCCTCCCCGCAGCTACAAGGTGCTGCCCCAAATCATTGAAGCCAAGTACTTGGATGCCATGGATGCTGAGCACTGACGTTCTGACTAGCAGGTCCTGGCCACACCCCATTTGCCCATTTCTCCAGGTCTTCCCAGGCTGGCTGTGTAGCTGTGTGTGGGCATCCGGGAATGCTGCTCTGTGCTGCACCCCCTCACAGCTGTCCCAAGTGGCCGAGGGTGCCTGGGCACTCAGGGAGCTCTGAGGGATGTGTCTGCTCCTCTTCCCAATAGCCCTTTGCTTTGGGTCCAGAATGCTGCTCAGGGCAGCTTCTGCCCAGGGTGGGAATAAGCAGGACAGATTTTCTTTTGATAAAGAGTGTGAGGTGGCCGAAAGAGAAACCATTTCCTTGATTGTGTAAGGAACTTCCTGGATGCACATTAGAGAATAAAGCTTCTGTTTCTATGCTTCTACATGCTACCTCCATCCATGCTGCCCTGCCCCAGCCTTTGAAGGCCACCCAAGGACTCTAGAGAGGAAGAGACCCTCCCAGAGGAAGAGGGATGAAAGGGACTGACTGTTGAATGCCACCTAAGGGTTGTTACTTCCAGCTCCACACAGCACCCCAACAGGGAAATGTGGAAGATCCAGGAGGCCCTTGTACCGCCATGTTGCCAGGAACCTGCAGGGAAAGTGTTCTAGAACCAGCACATGCAAGGGCCCCAAGAAGAAAGCTTGAGGCCAGTGAAAGGTGGCTGGTGGGGTGGGACAGGCAGTCACCATGCTGCTTGCAGGATGGGTCAAAGTAAAAGTGGTAGTCACTAAGTCTGTCCGACTCTTTGCGACCCCGTGGACTGTAGCCCAGCAGGCTCCTCTGTCCATGGAATTCTCCAGGCAAGAATACCAGAGTGGGCTGCCATTCTCTTCTCCCCGGGGATCTTCCCAACCCAGGGACCGAAATCAGGTCTCAAGCATTGCAGGCAAATTCTTTACCGTCTGAGCCACCAGGGAAGCCTTCAGGATGGGTAGCTAAGTTTAAAGAGGGGGTCAGAAAGTGTACTGTGCACCCAGGACAGAAGTCTATGAGGAAGCAGCTGGGGACCAGAAAGAGAGAGGTGCCCTGCTCCAAGCGTCACGTAGTCACCCACTCACATAACAGCAGGTGACCCTTCTATGGGGCCCCTCCCCAGTAGCCTGGGTGTTCCCTGCAGGTAGGGCCATGTCCAGGATCACCAGGTAAGAAGGCAGGCACCCCCCATCTGAGTCCCAGCCACATACCACCTACTCCAAGGAGACAACTCGGAGGCGGCTGGGCATGGCCACTGGCACTTCCCGAGGAAACACCCAGCTGGGCTTCGCAAGCAGCAGAGGAGCAAAGGGATGAGGTCCTGTCCTCACCCATACCTGTTGACACAGTCTAGGGAAGCAAACATTAAATCCAGGCCCCAGGCCAAGCTGCCAGGACTAAGGAACAGTGATGGGAGGGGACGAAGCTTAGGCCTGGGAGTGACACACCAGCACTGAGGACCCCTACCCCCCAAGCTACTACACACAACAGGCTTTTCTGACTGTCCTTGGGGTTGGGCAGCTCCTCTTTACCAGGGTAGCACCTGCAGAAAACAAGGGAGCCACTCCAGCCCTCTGAAATCCCCCCAAGGAATGGCTTCACCAGGGCACAGTAAGGGTCTGGGGCAGCTGAGTCGGGCCCTTAGTTGGTCCCCCAGGCTGAACTATGACATATCAACCCAACAGGGTGAAGTACTCCATCCCCCATCCCTGCCACAAAAATGAACCTGGAGTTACAATCATAAACCAGCACTGTAGCTGCTCTAATGTACACCAGCATAAAGAAAAAGCACACACCACCCCACACTGCCTGCCCCACAACCCAGCTGGCAAACACAACAGAGGCCAGCTGAGTGGCGGAGTGGATTTTGCATGGAAAAGTTCAACGCGTGATCTGAGACTTGAAAGACACAAGGGGAAGACAGAATATTCCAGCTAGCAATGGTATACAAACAGCCTCAACACAGCTCTGCCCTCATCTGGCCATCCCACCCCTCAGCCCTCTTTCCTGACCCTGAGAGGTTTCCTGCTTCTGCCTAAAGGGACTCAGAAGACAGATGCCTGCCTGGGGAGGTTTCAAAGCAGCTATACCCAATTTATTATGGAAGCAAGTACCTTCTGGAATTTTTATTTGCTGCATTTAAAAAACATTGAAGGCTGTTTGTATGGTTCTTCCCCAATCCGTTAACCCTTTGAAGGGTTAACACCCAAGGTCCTTTCAGGATTCCAGGCCTGGAGGCCGTAAGACGCCACTGAATCCACAAGGGCAAGAGGATGGTGTTGTCCTTTGGCCAAAGTCTCTCCAAACAGAGCCAGCTGCTCCTGACAGCTGGTTAACACCACCAGAAAGTGGTAATCCTGAAGGAAATACTTGGACAGGTGCCTGCCTGATAGAGGTAGTTTCAGGCTACCCCTCTCCAGATCCCCAGCCAGAGTGGTCATTACCGGCCCCAGGAGTCAGGCTGCTAAAGTATTCTTGCAATTGAAGCAGGGCCCGGAAGCGATGGGAAATGGTGTTCTTCTCAGCCTTGGGCATCTCTGCATACCTACAGGGCGACAATAACAGCTCAGAGAAGAGGGAGCCCAGACTTTGGGAGGGTGTGTACACCTTACCGCATCCTGGAGCCCGAAGCTCAGAGTCCCTCGTAAAAGGTAGCAGGGCCACCAGCTCCTGGCAGCCAGAGTTAATTTTTAAAAAATCAAAGAGTCTTAAATTCCACCATAGGTAGAAATCCATATTAATCTGTGTGGAAGGATACTAAATTTGTTCTAGTGTGTCCAAAGTCATTAAAAGGAAGCTGGGGACAGGGGGATGAGCTGCATGTTTGATCAGCTTTGTCATCTGTTGACAGGAAGCAGTGGGGCCTAATAGAGCAAACACAGCAATTTTCTCCAGGGCACTTCGGGGTGGGCAGATGGGCAGGGGAAGTGGGCCTTGAACAGCCAGCCAGTAACCTGCCACCCATGTCAGGACTCCAATGAGCTGAGAATCCCATACTCCAGTTGTTACTTTCACATCTGTGCCATCCAATACAGTGGCCACCAGTATGTGGCCATTTAAATTTAAACCAATTACAATTGAATAAAAATAAGTTCTGTTCCTCAGTTGCTCTAACCACATTACAAATGCTCTACAGCCACACGTGGCTAACATCTACTGGATCACACAGTGCGGTTACAGAGCATCTGTGTCACTGAACGATGTTTCATGCTGTCCTCAGTCCTACTGTAAGGCCTCAGGCCACGCTCCTGAAGGGTCCCTCCAGCGTGACAAACTCGATTCCCAATAATGGCCAACATGCCCCATGTAGACAAGTGGGGTTAGCCTGAAATACTGAGAACACCTGGCACTGGCACGGGGACGTTAATGTGGTGCCCAGCTGTTAACATTTTTCCAAACTAGATAAGGGTCAGATAATCATCCATCCATAGCGAAGCTGACAAGCCCAAGTCAGAGAGGGGAAGCTACACAGCTGCTCTGCGGTGAGCTGAGCCCGAGAGCCCAAGACTTCCAGCTACACCCAGCTGCCTCCCAGCTGTGGACTGTGTCACTCAGATTCCTTGCATCCACCCCCAGCAGAGCTGCCTTCAACTGGAAAGGCACCTCAGAGCCTGCCCCCGCCCGTGTCCACATGCCTGCACCTGGGTGGGGCACTGGCCCAACCCAGACCACGGCCATCCGACCCCACACCCCTGGAAATAACTGGGGCTCCTTACGTCTGCTCATATCCATCGGGCTGAAAGCAGGGGTCCCAGCCAAAGTCCCGGCAGCCACGGGGCACCACTATCCGGCCCTGCCAAAGAAAAGGGGGCATAGCTATGTCACTGGACGTGGAGATGCACTATGAGGAGGGCAGTAGCCAGTTTAGTTTAGTTAGTGAATTCGGTTAAACCCTAGTCACTCATATTATTTCAAGGGGTCCATGGTGCCGGCAAATGATTGCTGAACACACAAAAAAATGCAGAGCAGGAGAGCTCGCTCCCCACGGACAGCGAGGAACCACATGCTTGATCAGGCCACTGATACCCCTGGGACCAGCCTCCCTCTCCAAAGGTTTGACAAACTGTGACCTCACTGAAGAAAAGTCAATTTTGAAAAATTAACAGAAAAAAAAAAAAGAAAAATTAACAGAAAACATTTTCTCCTAAGTGGAAGTTTGAGGGTCCTAAACTTTGCCGACAAACCCTGTATCTCCTACTATTACTACACTTATCAAAATACAAAGATGGCTCTAACAAATAACACAATAGCACAATGTTCAACTCAAAAATAGCTCAATAAGTACTGGCTGTAATAGGCAAATTCCAAAAGGAAAATTTTACAAAGAGAACCAGTGTCATGAGATATCGGGTTACCTTGGGAATTAAAAAAAAAAAAAAACACATTAAAAATACAAGGGAGGTAGTAGAGGATGGGAATTAGCCACATAAATTCCAAGTCCTTCAGACCAAACGCAACTTCTGCTTTTGCTAATGGGGAGCTGTGTGACTGAGGCCAGTTACTGAATCACTCATGCGACAAATGTTTTTTGAATACCTTATCAAGGCAGGCAGTGTATTTAGCACGGGGATCAAAGAAAGCCTTAGCCTTGCCTTCACAGAATGGATCTCTTCAAGCAAAACAAGCACTGCACCAGTAAACAAATGAATGATTACCAAATCATTAGAGGGCACAAACTGGGAGCTGGGCTCAAGAATAACAGGCTGGGGAGCTCAGGGAAGGCCTGAGTGAAGATGGGACACTCTGACCACATAAAGGGCGAGGGCAGGACATTCTAGGTGGAGGACAGAGCTGCTCCAAGGTCCTGAGATGGAGAAGGGCCTAGCACACACCCTGCTGAAAGGACTATGTGGCTGGGGCTTAGAGAGCATGGGTGAGAACAGGACAAGAAGAGACAAGGCTACCTCATTTAAAGTAAGGGCTGGCAAACAATAAAGCACAAAAACAAAGGACAAAAACAACAAAGCCACAGCTGGGGAGACCACGGGGAATGGCGGTGGTTGGGATCGGGCCCGGTCAGCAGCATAGCAGCTACTCAGTCACAGGGCAGGAAACTGAGCCTGTGGTTGGCCAAACTTTTGATTTCTGAGAGAACATTTCTGTGAGAGTAGCAGACCACTATAACCAATGTCAAAAAATTTCACCAGGCAATACAATCTAGTAATCCCATTTGTGGATATAGATCCAGAAGAACTGAAAATGGAATGTTGAAGAGATATTTGCACACCCATGTTCACAGCAGCATTATGAGTCAAAATGTGGAAGCCATTCAAGTGTTCATCAACAAATACAGGCAAACCTCAGAGATATTGTGGGTTCAGTTCCAGACCACTATAATAAAGCAATTATCACAATAAACCAAGTGACATGAATGTTTTCGTTTCCTACTGCATATAAAAGTATGCAATAGCATTATGTCTTAAAAACAATGCTTGTTTTTGTTGTTCAGGCACTAGGCCATGTCTGACTCTTCGCGACTCTGAGGACTGCAGCACACCAGGCTCCTCTGCCCTGCACTATCTCCCAGAATTTGCTCAAATTCATGTCCATTGAGCCTGAGATGTTATCTAACCTTCTCATTCCAGTACCACATTGGATACTTTCTGACCTGAGGGGGGCTCATCTTCTGGTGTCATTATCTTTTTGCCTTTTCATGGGGTTCTTGCGGCAAGAATACTGAAGCAGATTGCCATTTCCTCCTCTAATGGATCACGATTTGTCAGAACTCTTCACTATGACCTGTCTGTCTTGGGTGGCCCCAGACTCATTAGATTTGTTGAGTTACACAAGCTCCTTCACCACAACTAGGCTGTGATCCATAAAGGGAAAATAAAAAACATAAATATCTTAATTTAAAAACACTTTATTGCTAAAAAATGCTAGCCATCATCTGATAGTGCAGGGTTGCCACAAACTTTCAATTTGTAAATACACAGTATCTTCAAAGCTCAATAAAACAAGATATGCCTGTAAATAAAGTGGTACATACATACAATGGAATATTATTCAGCCTTAAAAAAGGAGATCCTGTCACACCCTACAACATGGATGAGATGAAGACATTATGCTAAGTGAAATAAGACAGTCACACAAAAACAAACACTGCAGGACTCCACTTATATGATGTGTCTGAGGTAGCTGAACTTAGAAACAGAAGGCAGAATGGTGCTTACCAGGTGCTGGGGAGAAGAGAGGAAGTGAAGTGAAGTGAAGTGAAGTTAAAGTCACTCAGTCATGTCCAACTCTTTGCAACCCCATGGACTGTAGTCTGCCAGGCTCCTCTGTCCATGGGATTCTCCAACAAGATACTGGAGTGGGTTGCCATTCCCTTCTCCAGGGGATCTTCCCAACCCAGGGATCGAACCCAGGTCTCCTGCACTGCAGGCAGATTCTTTACTGTCTGAGCCAACAGCGAAGCCCAGAAGAGAGGAAGGTGGACTGTTATTCAATGGGAATAATTTTGCAAGATGAGAAATTTCTAGAGATCTTTTGCACAATCGTGTACACTACTATACACTTAATGGTGAAGATGATAACTTCTGAAACCTGTTTTTTTACCATAAGGACTGAACATCTCATCAGGGAGGCTTCCCTGATGGCTTAGTGGTAAAGAATCTGCCTGCCAATGCAGGAGATGTGGGTTTGAACCCTGGATCGGGAAGATTCCCTGGAAGAGGAAATGGCAACACACTCCAGTAATCTTGTCTGGAAAAACCCATGGACAGAGCCTGATGGGCTACAGTCTATGGGGTCACAAAAGCATCAGATATAACTTAGATGGAGCCACCGGTGTAGGGCTATATGGGCTACAGTGAGACTCTGGATTTTATCCTGAGCAGAGAGGACAAAGTAGAGAAGTGATGTGTCTGAAGGTAAACCCTGCCACAGGGAGGGAATGAATGGGCTGGGGTGGGGCGGGAAGCCCAGCACAGAGGGTGGTTTGGACTGAGAGAAGCAGCTGAACCTATGGTCTGATTGGTAAGCCTGGAGACACTGAAGGGCACCTTGAAAGGAATGAGCTGGGGGGAGAGGAAGATTCTATATGAACGTAAAAACTTGGAAAGGCTGTGAGATGTTCAAGGCAAGCTGTTGCACAGCAGTGTGATAAGGAGATTCAAGCTTGGAGAAGTCTGAACTGCAGATGTAGCTCTAGGAGCTGTCATCTTTAGTTCCCACATCTACTTCTCAGGAGAGCATACAGTGCACAGCTCTGGGTATACCAGGCTCCAAAAGCTGTGAGCCATGTATGTTTCCAAACATCAGACTCAGGAGGCAACAAGTTTTAGGACTGACAGCATTTCAAGTTTTGGTACCTAGGGGTGTGACCATCCCACCAGATAGCATCACTGGTGGCGGGGTGGGGAGTGGGGGGGTCACAGCGCCCTCTGGTGGCATGCAGGGGAACAAGCACGAGCACATACCATCGTCCGGCCCCTGAAGAGGCGTATGGGCTCATTCGGGTCCCCAGTGCTGAATGCGAACGTGCAGAGTGCATAGGCAGACTTGTCTTGGAACCCCTCCAGGAGCTGGTAGAGACCTGAGGGAAGGTGCAGTGAGGGCTCAGCACACTCTGTGCTGCCAAGCCCCAGGCCCAACTCCCCACCCAAGGGGCCCAGTTGGGGGAGGGGAGTTATACACGTCACCAAATAGGCCCTGTGCTGATAACCCAAGAAGCTGGGTGATGGGGATGTAGGGTCCCTTATTCTACTACTGTGGGTTCCAGGGTATGGCGCTGGGACCAGGAAGGGAAGCAGGGTGTCCCCCTCTCCACATTCTGCTGAGGCAACGACAGCAAGTGGTGGGGCCAATCCTCTCAGAGCCAGAATCTCCCTTTGCCCCTCAATCTCAAAGCTCTCACCACCACCACCACCCCTATCTACTCCTCCCACATCTCAGTGCTCCCTGGAGCTAGGATTAGTGTGAGCCGTAGATTATAGATGGGGATACTGAAGTGAACAGAGGCTCGAAGGGGACAGAACCTGAGACTCCTGATTACTAGCTGGAGCTCCTCCCTTAGAACCCACAGATTTCTTAATTCCAAACACATTGAAAGAGACAAATGGGAATAATACCTTCAGGCTTTAACTTCTCCAGAAACCACTTTCTGCAAGAGAAATAAAGGTGAGACAGACACCACAAATAGATGGGTGTTCCTACCACCTTCTTTCCAGGCTGCATCCCCCAGGAATTAAAGCTCTGAGAGAGTCAAGGAGAAAAGATAATGTCTCAACTCAAAATGAAGAGAAATAATCCAACAGGAAAAAGGAGATGGAGACAAACAGGCAATGCACAGAAGAATCAATAAACCAATGAAGGCCTCAACCTCACTGCTAATTAGGGAAATACAAATTAAAATTGCATGTGATAACATTTCCAACTCACCCACTAAAGTACTAAAAAGTCATGGAACAGTGCTGGTAAGAATATAGAGCACATGTAGGGGTGCTACTGCGTTGGCAAACAAATGAGCAATCCTAAAGTTAAAGATACAGTTAACCCTTGAACTACATGATTTGAACTGCCAAAGTTCACTCATATGTGGATATTGTTCAATAGTCAATACTACAGTAATACATGGCTGAACCCACGGATATGGAAGTCCAACTGTAAGTTATACGCAGGTTAACCCCAAGTTGTTCACGGATCAACTGTTTACATAACCAAAACCCAACAAACTGGGGTATCTGTACCCCGTGTGTGTGTGCGCCCTCGCTCAGTCATGCCCGATTCTTTGGGACCTCATGGACTGTCACCCACCAGGCTCCTCTATCCACGGAATTTTCCAGGCAAGAATCTAGGAGTGGGTGCCATTTCCTTCTTCAGGGGATCTTCCTGACCCAGGAATCAAACCCACATCTCTTGAGCCTCCTGCACTGGCAGGAGGTTCTTTACCACTAGTACCACCTGGGAAGCCTGAGGGGGGTCCAGGACACTGGATAGATTTAAGGAAATCCATCTGCAGATCTCAACCTCCTTATTTCCTCTTTCCTGAAACTGACCTGCCCAAGGATTACCTCTCCAATGGGTGAGTTCCCCTTGCCCATCTCAGCTTACACAATCACATTCTCACACTTAACAAAAGAAAGGCATGCCTCTCCCCCATCCCTAATCCTTCCTCAATAATCTGACATACTCGTGTTGACACCAAGACAGTGAATGACCTACAGTATCAAGTAACCAATCAACTGAAGGTGGTTTTGTGGCCAGCGCCCCGCAAAGGGGTGGGAGAGCACTCACATGTAGGGGCCAGGGAGGCCCCCAAGGGCGTTGAAGCACAGACAGGTGTCCTCCACCAGTACAGGGCCCTGCACCTGCAGCATAAGGACATACAGCCCTGAGACCCGTGCCCACCAGCAGGCCCCACCTCTGCTCTGAATTCTCAGGCCACCCAGGCCAGGGCCAGACCCACAGCTAGCTGGGCTGTGCAACAGCAGCAGCAGACCCTGGGCTAATCTCTTATCTTCTCATCTGTTTGAGAGACGGGGACAACAAAGCCTCAGCAGGTTGTAAAGCTTGTACAATGACAGGAAAGGTGGGATTATACTCAAGCAGGCTGACTCTTTACAAAGTGCTGTTTCTCAGCTCCAGAGAGATGTGTGAGTGCAGGGTGGATATGTATGGGGAGAATGCAGGGGATGGAATGAATGCACCAGAGACCTGGGAAGAGAAAATTGTGTGTCTGTGTGTGTGTGTGTGTGTGTGTGTGTGTGGTCATCTTAGGGGGATACTACACAGTTAAGGTTGAGAAAGGAAGGCAACATATAACTATTAACTGACTCCAGCCTGATTAGACATGGAAAGGTCCTTCGAGTCATCATAAACTGTGCCCACCACATTCTCTACCCATCCCCAGCAGGCACAGATCCCAGGAGCCACCAGGACAAGAGGAGCAAGTACAGGACACGAATGGAGCAAGCACCTGGCGAGCTGCCTCCTGACACTTCCGAATGGAAATCTCATCAGGCTCTCCTTGGTACTCTGGCACTTGTGAGGGAAACAGACACACAATCAGGTCACAGGGAGTTAGAAAAATTGAATCATCTTTTAAAAATAAAACTAAACAAGAGACATACGGTCAATTTTCTGCGCCACCAAAGTGCACGGAAATTTATCTCCTAGAATCTGAATGACCTGTTCCAAAATGAAAGAACATTTGTCACCATTTAATGATTCCCCATTACTGCACAAGCTATCACCCACCTTTCTCAATAGGTAACTCTCCTGTCAGTTCCCTAAAGTTCAAAGTCAGGTCCATGAGCCTCAACTCTAGCCCTCAGGGTCCCACCCCAGCAGGTCAGCTCCCTCGTCTTCTCATTCTCTGATCCCTCCCTCCTACTTCAGGTCTCTGTTCATGCTAACCACCACCTAGAACACCCTCTTCCCTTCTTAATGCTCCCAGAACCTATCATTTAGGCCAGGAATTTTCTATCAGGGGTTACCTGGAATTCAGGAGGATCTACCCAGAACTTGGATAGAAAAAAAAATACCTCTCTATTTTCACTAACCCTGAGCTGAAATTTAGCATCTCTTTCAATTGTGGATATAGAAAACAAACAAATAGCATCAGCAGTTCCTGTGACATTTAAATCTATTAAAATCAAAGATGTTGTCATATCCCTTTACAGTTCTAGCAGATAATCTCAAAATACCATTTACAACCTTCACTATTATTAAATTGATAATAACACAAAATGATAGATTGAATTCTTTAATGAACAAAAAATATGTAACTAGATCACAGATATTTATATTTTGAGAATTGTAAATCAATAGAACTGATTTCCTTTGTGGTGGTGATTTTGTCACTAAATCATGTCTGTCTATTTGCAACCCCATGGACTGCAGCCTGCCCAACTCCTCCGTCCGTGGGATTTCCCAGAACATCCCCTTTTCTCCAGGGGATCTTCCCAACCCAGGGATTGAACCCACATCTACTGCATTGAAGGATAATTCTTTACTGCTGAGCCACCAGGGAATCCCTTGATTTCCTGGTAATCTCATGTATTTTATTTTGTACGTTTAAAAATATTTTCCTGAGAAAGGGTCCATAGGCATCATCATTCTGCCAATGGGATAACAAGTTAAAACTCTTATTTTATGCCAACTTCAAGTCCATCTTCTCCAGTGAGCCTCCTCTAGCCACTCCAGTCTGTTTTTTGGGGGTTTTTTTTGGCCATGCCATGTGACTTGTGGGATCTCTTGAATCCTAGCCACTGGACCCACAGGGAATTCCCTCCTGCCTCTTTAAATGTGGGAGGGCCACATACTCAACCAAAAGTAGAGATAGGCTTGGGAGCTGGAAGCCACCATTTTGCATGGGGCTCTGTTCAGGGTGGCACTGCCTGTTTGACTGGTCTGGCCTTAGGATCCCAAACCTTTTCTCACCCCAGGGCTCTGACTTCTGAGAAGGCCACTCTGAAATGGCACAGACGTGCCATCAGTCCTTGTACTGTAGATAAATGAAGGGTCCCCTTATGACTGGACCCCACTGGTCTGCCTCAGATATCGACTGGATGTCATCCTGATTCCCCACACATGACCCATCTTCCTGGCCATGGCTGACGGAGCAGGGACAAACCTTTGATCCAAGCAAGGCCAATCAGAGCTGATGTCTGGCAGAAGCCTCACTGCCTCCTCCACCAGGAGGGGAAATGCAGAAAGACCTCAAAATGAAAAGCGATGAGCATCCAGGGAGAACCAGAAGGACAAATAAACCCCTCTCGAGGGACCCCTGAGAAAGACTCCTTAAGTCCTATGGAACAGCACACTACTGTATTCCCACAATAGTCACCTGGTGGTTTACATAAGCTATCTGTGTCTCTTTACTATTTGCAGCCAAAGAGGTTCCATCAACCCCCAGAATCCTTACAGCTAGCCACAAAGTCCCGGTAGACAAGAACTTTGATCCACTGCCTCCCTCACACCTCTCCTTTGCTCCGTGAAACAGACCTCTTGCATTATCCCCATTTCAAAAATGGCAGAGAGGCTGGGAGACTGGAGACCACATTTCTGGACTGTAGTGGGGCGTGGACGGCTCGGCTTGGATGCCTGGCTCCACACCCTGTCCGGTCCCTGACAACCCCAGGCCAGCAGCGGTATTTGGATCAACTCCAGAGGGGTGTCGAAGTCCTGGTTTGGGATCCAGCTTAAGAGGTGACCTTGGGGACAAGTGCTAAGGACTCCACCATTTAGCTCCCGAAACCCCTCAGGCCACAAGTCCTGTGCCCGGATTTGTCAAGGCCCTTATTTTATTGAGCACAACCCCGGGTCGCCCCCACTCTGCACACGTGCGGGTCCCAGTCCGCGCGGCACTACCGGTTACAACCCATCCCTCCCCGTCCAACTCTTCGTTCCGCGTCCGCTGCTCCACCCGCTCGCTTCGCTCCGCCTGGAAGCCCCTTCCGCCTTCTCCCGAGCCAGCCTGGTCACACGCTACCCTTTCACCGCCTCCTAGTCGCCACCCTCCCATCACCTCCTCCAGCTTTTTGGCGTTCCCCGTGACAAACACGATCTTCTTCCCGGCCAAGGAGGCCGCCATGGTGATCCCCAGCTACCCCGCAGACCCACCGGAAGTCCTCCTGCTTCGAGTCGCAGGCACTTCCGACTACCGGCGGAAGGGGATAACCTGGTTTCCGACCTCTGGTCCCAGGAAGGCATCCTGCGGTTTGTGTTGCGTGCCGGGGGCTGCGGCGGCGATTGCGGCAGCAGTGGCAGCCTGGGCGCCTTTAGGCAGGAACGCCGCTCTGGGCATCCAGAATCCTTGCTCAGACCCCCAGTAGTATGGCGCCCTTTGGATGTGCAGCCTGGGGCCCCCGAGGGCTAGAAGGGAGGAGAAGGGCTTGGCCTCCCTTACCGGAATTGTTGGGGTCTAACGGATACTGGCTGGAGAGGGCAATAGCACCCCACTCCAGTACTCTTGCCTGGAAAATCCCATGGACAGAGGAGCCTGGTAGGCTGTAGTCCATGGGGTTGCTAAGAGTCGGACACGACTGAGAGACTTCACTTTCACTTTTCACTTTCACGCATTGGAGAAGAAGTGGCAACCCACTCCAGTGTTCTTGCCTGGAGAATCCCAGGGACGGCGGAGACTGGTGGTCTGCCGTCTGTGGGGTCGCACAGAGTTGGACGCGATTGAAACGACTTAGCAGCGGCAGCAACGGACACTGGCGGTTGAGTGTGCCGAGACCAGCCCCTCTCGCCAAAGCCAGAAGTGACTATTCTAACCACCTGCCCCACTCCTGTTTTCACCCATCTCTGGGACAGGGGCACCGAGGAAGCAAAGAAACCCTTCGTGCCTATCTCGAGGCCTGTGATGAACTCCCTAGGCTCTGGACGATTCGCTTCACTGCTGGCACCTCTAAAGTTGTCTCTAAGAACTGTTTCGTTCAGGACAAGGGCTCCCTAACCTGGGTCTTTATCCTGATCTCATCTTCAGCCCGGCTTCCTTAGCTCCGCCTTGCCTGCCAGCTCCGAACTACCGACTGTGATTTTAAACTTAGCATAGCCTTACTCTAGCCCGGTCTTTTCACCCATGTCCCAGATTTGGGACTTCAGTATTTAAACTCCTTTATTACAACATCCCTCCAGTTCCTTAAATCCATCTTTCCTTCTCAGCCAATTCTTTTCATCCCCAACACAGCAAAGAGTAGAAAGTGCCCCAGCAGACCCACCTTGCCATAGGCCTTGACCCACTACTGACACTGGCACTGGGCAATTCAGCCGTCTGTCTCCTTCGTGGGGCAGATTGGAGGCCAGCTTTACTCCTGGTGAGGCAGCTCCTGTCAGGAGTATCATGGGAAGTCTGGTGAGCTGGCAATGCCTGGATGAATTATTTTGTTTACTGTTAAAGACATCTGATCATCTCGATTATCAGATTTTTTTTTTTTTACATGCCAGAATTGGTCCTTGGGGAACATATGTATTTTTTAAAGACCCTTTGCTCAATGACTACTATAGTGGGAATATTGCACAGGCCAAAAGTGATTACTATGTCCTAACGCAGGTCCTGGAATTTCCCATTCTACCATGTGATTCTACCATATGATCGCTCTCTACTGGGTGATTTGCCAATCTCTTTGGAGTTGACATGAGAAGTAGTGGGTTAGATCAGGAAGTGATGCCCCTGGTCTATGTCATGTGTCTTCCTCATGAAATGGTGAATCTTCACGCATGTGAAGATGGTTCACAAAAGAGGTTCAGTGCAGCAAAGCTGACCTCCTGACAGGCTAGGAGGAGCTTTCCAAGGACTGAGTATAGGCACCTGGTGTACCACAGACAAGTACCACGTGGTATGGTTAGCACAAAGACAGTTGGAACCCTGGAGGCTGAGAGAACCACCTAGGTTGGTTGAGGAGCCAACCCACATCTTGCTGAGGAGCCCACAAAGGTTATTAAGCAGGAGTATTGGAAGTGGGCCTTCACTCTTAGAGTGAGATAGACGTCACTCTAAAGCTGATGGCCTTGGGGAATTCCCTGGTGGCCTAGTGGTTAGGACTCTGCTTTCATTGTTGAGGATACGGGAACTAAGATCCTGCAAACCAATCAAGCAGTCAATTAACCTGAAGTTCTTTGAACCCAAGAACTTGGTGAGGAGGGAGGAGATATATGAATACCAAAAACTATATGAAGAAGTTTGTGCATGTGTGATCTTTAATCAGGATCCTTGGTTTCAAGTGATAGAAATCCTTTTAGGCAACAACGAGACAAAACAGGCATATTGATTGCTTTACCTAGCTGATGATCCAACATGTGAAGAAATAGGTTCTTTATTGTTCTAAACAGAAATGAAAGGGATTGCATTATTCATTCATTAAATAGAATTTGCTGGAATTAAAATATGTGAATTTTTATTTCTCTAGCTAGGATTATGATGGAATAATCTCTTTGGAATTGCACTTCCCTCATTGTGGAAGAAACTAAGTTAAGTGAAAAAGGACAATTCTTGCCTTCAAAGGAGATTGTCAGGTCCTATTAATTCTACCTCTGAAATAGTTCCTTTTATTTAATTTTTTAGTATTTGAATGGTTGCATGCATGCTTTTTTTTTAACATTCATTTTTATTTGACTGCAGCAGGTCTAAGTTTCAGTTGTGGCATATGGGATCGTTGTTGGTTTTTTTTTTTTTTTTTTCATATGGGCTCTTTAGTTGCAGGAAGTGGGCACTAGTTCCCTGACCTGGGATTGAACCCTGGTCCCTTGCAGGGAAGTGCCTGCAAAAACTGGGAAGTGCCCAGTTTTACCCACTGAGGAAGTCCCTCTGGTATTTACTGTTTTGAAAATATACATTCACACACACACACACACACACACACAACTGAGTCACTGTGCTGTACTGCGGATCGATTAAGAAAAAAATTAGGGCCTCTCCATTTAGTGAGGCCAGGGCGGGGCCGAGAGGTGGGCGGGGTCTAGATAGGAAATAGGAGGGGCCACATGAGCGGTGGGCGGGGCCTGGGAGATCCCGGGTTTCTGGGTGACGCGCTGGTTCCACTTGGAAGTCCACGTCATGGTGTCCCCCGTGGTGTACTTGGCGGTGGCAGCTCTGCTTGTCGGGCTTATTCTCTTCCTGACTCGCAGCCGGGGCCGGGCGGCAGCAGGTAGGAGATGCCGCCGCGCCAGGGCCGGTGGGGCCGCGCGTCCTCTTGTCTCCTCAGCCTCTAGGCCGTGGAGCCGCGGCTTATGCGCATGCGCTGACTTGCCCGGCGGAGCTGACCAGATCTCCGCGCCTTCCGCCGGCCGCAGGCCGCACGTCTGAGCATGCGTGCGCAGAGCGGAGACCAGCAGGGCGCCGCAGTGCAGATGCTTGCTCGTGGACCAAGTGGCTGCGTCCCACACCTTTTTCCTGGCCCCCAAAGAGAGCGTGCTCTCATCTTCTCGCCCCTTTGGCCCTCCCTGAGGGCCAGGCCCTGGCAGACACTACCATCCTTTATCCAGGCAGCCCCCGGCTGCGTCCGTTGAGGGATCCACAGGGGTTTCCCATGCTTCCCAGGCCGGGTCCAGAGCAGCTGACGAGAAGGGGGCCCCTAAGTGTTTTCTGCCTACCTGCGAACAGAAAACAGCATGAGGCGGCTCCAGGAAGCTCTCCTTACCCCTCAAGAACACCCATGTGTGCTTGCACGCTCCTCCCTGTTTTGCACCCCGCCCTGAAGGCCGTGTCAGCTGCCAGGGCACATAACAGATCCACCTGTCATCCTCCACCCTGGCCCCCTCCCCATCATTTCTTTATCGGCATATGAGTTTGTGTATATGTCCCTCCCCCTCCTTCGGCCCACAAGCTATTCGAAGCATCTGCCAGGGGCAGGGGACACAGAAGCTGAGGTAAGGCAAGTAGCCAACAAGTCTTCCTGGGAGGAGAGACTTCGCGGTCGGGTCTGCTCTCTGATTGGAATTCCAGATAAAACCGTGGCAGGTGGTGTTAGGCAAAAGATTAATACAGTACTGATGTGGGCATTCATTCAGATGAGGCCTGGTGAGGTCAAGGTGGGCTTCTGGAAGAGGTAGAACAGCTCCATTTTGCAGGGTGGTAGTCTCCTGATGGGTCAGCTGGAAAGGTGGGGCCTTAAGAGGAAAGAAAGGTATCAACAGAGGTGGGAGGAAAGGAGTGCTCTTGCTGCATTGGACCAAGGTCAGGGTTTGGGTTATGAAAGACTCCAAAGTCAGGCTGAGAAATTAGGACGTTGTTGTTGACAGCAGGAGCTTGGAGGAAGTTGAGCAGAGGAGGGTGAGGCTTCCAGGATGCTGTTCCCCCTGCCAAGAGGTGAGTTGGGCTACCAGAGAGAATCATGGTGCTTCTCTTCCCTACAGCTGTCCAAGAGCCTTTGCACAGTGAAGGGGAACCAGCAGTAGCAGGCCAAGTGGCTCGGCCTCAGCCCCTAGAGCCCGAGGAGCAGAGAGCCGTGGGCAGGCCCCGGCGCCGGAGAGACCTGGGCAGCCGCTTACAGGCCCAGCGTCGAGCCCAGCGAGTGGCCTGGGCCGATGAGAATGAGGAGGAGGCCATCATCCAAGGTGAGAGGGGCCCAACCTGGTGGAGAAGGGGCCTGGGTTAGAGGGTGAGGTTACCCCAAAGCTAGGCAAAAGAATGCGGTGTGAAGCCATAGTGTGGGAGGAATGTCTGGGAATCCTTGGATGTGGTTAGGAGAGACTTTGTTGTTGTTTAGTCGCTAAGTTGTGTCTGACTCTTTTGTGACTCCAGGGAGTCCTCTGTCCTGAGATTTCCCAGGCAAGAAAACTGGAGTGAGTTGCCATTTCCTCCTCCAGGGGATCTTCCCAGCCCAGAGATCGAACCCACGTCTCTGCATTAGCAAGTGGATTCTTTACCACTGAGCTACCAGGGAAGCCCCTAGGGGAGACTTAGGACCCATCCTTTCTTCCCTGGGGACTAGCAGCTCTGGACCCTGATCCCTATTCCATTGGGCCAACCCCTTCTTCCTTCATTTTGGCTCTCAGTGTCCAAACAGGAGGGCAGGAGTCTTTAGATTGACCTAGAGAATTCTTCAGTCCACTCCTTCTATCCCAGCACTCTTCCTTGTGGGGGCCCACTCATTCTCTGAGGGCTTCACTCAAGGGCTCAGGTGCCCTCTCTATGGCTATATAGCATCTAATATTATCATCTGTTTTCTTGCTCCATGGTTCCCTCACCCCTCTCCCAAACCTAACACATACATCCCAGACAAATTTCTGTGTGGCAGAGGCTTTAAGAGGGCAGAGCTGGACTAGGGGTATTTGCCAGTGAGTGGAAGGAAATCCCCCTTGAGGAGAGCAACGAGGGATAAGGTGAATATCACCTGTCCTCTGTGGCTAGGACCTGACGTGTCTTTCTCTGACCATACTCAGCCCAAGAGGAAGAAGACATAGAGAAGCCAGTGGAAACTCACTTGTCTGGGAAAATTGGAGCCAAGAAACTACGGAAGCTGG